CAAACTATTCATAATTAAGACGACAAACAAGTCAAATTTTTTAGTGTTTAAGTTTGTTTATTAAAATTTAGTCAAATTCGCACCCGAGCCAAGTTTAAGTCAACATAAATAATTGAGTTCGAACTTGACTTGACAAATATTTAAAAAACCCGAGCTAAGCTCAAATTAATTTGACTACATAAAAGAGACGAATTCGAGCCCAAGATTGAATTTTTTTTAATTAATTTACTTATTAAAAAAATAAGGTTATATGTAAAATATATAAAAATATTTATAATAATAATAAATTTAATCAATCAAATACGATATATAAATTCATATAAACACCCAACAGAGTTCAAATGAGTCTAAAAATCGAGCTCAAACTCATTTATTTAGTAAATGGACACAGCTCAAACGAATTAAATTCAAACTATTCCCGAACAACTCAGTTTGGTTATAGTCTTATCCACAACCTGAAAATCGAGCTGCATTTTGTGCCATTAACCTTCTAATTCTATAACCCTTTTTTCAACTCACTAATTTTGTTTTTTTTTTTTTTGTTAAAACAAATTGACGTTTTTTTGTTTTAAATTTGGACAAAAAAAAAAATTTGGAATTGGAGGAAATTACAGGTAAATAAATACTTTTTTCTTAGTATAAAAAAACAGGGTAAATTTCACTGACCTTTCCAAGATTTAAAGAAAATACAATAAATTTCAGAATTTTAATATGATTATACGGACTTCCATTTTAATAAAGTTAAGTAGAGCAAAATAAATGTTGATAGTGCAAAAATACAAAAATAAATAATATAAAGTATATACTTTCATATCAAACTGATAATAATATCATTTTTTTAATTCATATAACTAACAATTATTGATGAAAAAATAGAAAACTAAATGTTATAGATTAAAATCTCAAGATAACTCAATAATATACTGATGTTAAAACGGTGTCACTCGCTAAAACTTTATCTAAATCTGAAAGTGGTCAGTGTAGTTGTAGTTAGACCAAAATAATAATAATAATTCCGCACAATATTGTTTAAATTTTTTTTAAAAGAAGTTAGGAAAGTTGGAGGGAGCATGTTTACTTCTAGTTAGTTAGGCCAAGAAGGTAGCTTTTTATTTATTTTAAGCTTCCTTTGAGAGGAAGGGTTGAGTTGAGTTTGGTTGGGGTTTATTTTAATTATAAAAAAATAAAATAAATTTTTTAGTTTAATAAGATAAAATATTACATTTCACTTATAATCATTACATTTTTTCTCTCACAAAAAATCAAAAAAAAAGACTTTTTAACTCCAGACAAAATAACCAAAAAATTAAAAAGTCAACCTACTTCCCAAATGAACCCTTATTATTTTATTTTGATGTAATTTATGTTCATAATTTATAAAAACAAAAGTAATTTAAAATAAATTAAAAAAAATTATTTATTTAAAAATTGGACAAATATAAGCCCCTTAATCCATGCCTATAACAAAAACACTATGCGCATGTTGGTAGCACTAGGCTTAGCCAGCGCACGTTAGCAGCCAGCATTGGGGACAAAAATGTAGTGCGGGTTTCGCCGGCGAGAGAGGGATATTATTTAGGGTTGGTTTGGTAAGGGCACATTGGTTTTTTTTGGCTCGAGTCATAAAAGACAGAATAGGCTCATTACACTCTTTTCTCATAAAAAAAGTTAAAAAATTCTTTCCAAACCAAGCTTTGAGCCCAGGCTCATATAGTCAAAAAAGTTAAAAAATTAAAAAGCCAACCCACTTCCCAAACGAAGGCTTAGTCATTTTATATAAAGTTATATTTCAATACTATTTTTTAAAAGAGGGGGTAGTTATTACCCATTAGAATCGTTAAAAAATTATTACATATAAAAAAATTATAGTTATTAATATTTACAAAAAAATTTACTGATAATATTTCACTTTTAAAATGTTCGAGTGAGACACTCCATTAAATTTTTCAAGAGAATAATAAGGAAAATCTACGGGTATTTCTGTTTAGAATTAAAAGATGCAAGAAGTAATAATCTTGTGCCAAAATTAGAGATAAAAAAATAAAAAAACAGAGTGAGATAGGATTTAGTAATTGCAGAATATAAATACGTAATATTTTATAATATTATGATTAGAAAAGAGAATATATATGTGAAATATTATGTTAAGTGATTGGAGAGCCTAATGGTGAAATATATGTGAAATATTGAATGAGATTGAATAAGAATTGATTAAGAATTATAAACATACATATTGAATAATTTCCCGTGAGGAAGAGGGGGAGAGTGCTAACCTGCACACCGGGCGAAGTGATCCCAAGAATCCGGATCTTAGCCCCAACATCACCCAACACCCTGAGCTCCACCCGATCATTGAGCGTGGCGTCTCTCACCAGCTCCGCCGCGTCGGCCTGCATCAAGTTCACCCGATCCACCGCCACCGTGGTCTCCACCTGCCTGACGCTGTGCGCCGCCTGGTAAAACCCCGGCACCACCCCTCTCCCCAGCGGAATCCCCCTATACATTACCGTAAATCTCGATTCTCCGTACTTTATCCCCACCTTGTTGTCGTTCGCCGCCGTGAATAGGAGCCGGATGTTTAGGGATACGGAGGCGGACGACGGTTCTGTGGCGGTGGTGGAGGGAGGGTTTGGGGATATGCCGACGTACTGGACGCCGACTTGTTGGAGATCGAATTGGGGCTTTTTGGGCTTGACGGCGAGGACAATGACAAGGACTACGGCGAGGATGAGGAGGGCAAGGAAGGAGAAGAGGAGGAAGAGGCAGCAGCAACAGCCTTTGAGGGAGGCTGAGGAGGAGGAGGAGGAGTATGGGGGTGGGTAGTAGTGGTCGTTGGAGTGGGAGTTGCGGTGGTTGTGTGGTGGCCGTGGTGGTGGTGGTTGTGATTGAGGTGGTGGTGGTGGTGGTGGTGGTGGTGGTGGGCGGCGTGATGTCTGGTTGTGGTGGTGGTGGCCGTTCATGTTAGTTCTGGTGGTCATTTTCTTGCTATCGTGCGCCGGGTATAGGAGGAAAAATCTTGATGAAAATCAAGGGGGGCCTTCTCTCTCACTGTCTCTGATCTCTCCTCTCTTCTGGTCTCTGTGGTTTCTTTGCTTTAGAGAGAGAGAGAGAGAGAGAGAAATAGAGAGAGGAGAGAGAATGAGTGATGTAGAGCAAAATTAAATTGGTTCACTGAAAAAAATACAATGAAAATCTCATAACCAAAGTTACTTCGGTTCAAAACAAAACAAGACAAAATCTTGTAACCAAATCCACTTTGATTTATAACCAAACACCACAAAATGTTATAAACAAATAATAAGTCCAAGTAAAATTATTAAGTTGTGTGTAATTTTAATTGAGTAATGCTATATAAAATAAAATAAAAAAATAAAAGTACATAATTTTTATAAAATCTTATATAAGAATAAATTTTTTTGTGAAAAATAAATGAGTGTATTGTGAGATATGTAAAATAAATCTTAATCACATATTAAAAATTGTGGGTAAATTTTGGGCATAAAATTTTGAATTTGTATGATGAGTCATAAATTAAAGATGGGTAAGTGGATTTGTATGATGAGTCATAAATTAAAGATGGGTAAGTGGTAGTCAAGTTTGAAGCCAAAATTGGTTGAAAATATTATTTATGTATTTTTTTAACATTTATTATGATAAAAAATAAATTTTGTCAATAAAAAATATTATCATATTATTATATAAATAAATAAAATTTATTTTATATGTCTAATTTTAATATCATGATATTAGTAATCTTTTCACTCAAATAAAAGAGTAACTCGGGTGGTTAATCATTAATCCCTAAGGTTTCTCTGTTCATCTAAACTTGTTTTGATTATGATTTTTTTTAATATTATTATAAAAAGATGTTTAAAAAAATATTAAAAAATAATATGACTCAAATAAGACAATAAATTACTTATTTTTGATTTTGCCAAAAGGGATTCACAGGCTTAAGAGTTGGCCTTGCAACATTAAATTTAAGAAAAATGAGTGAGAGCTCTAATTAGAGCTACCATTAATGATGTGACAGTAAGTCTCATCCACTATCACAATATGTATTGTGTCGGTTGTTGTTGTTGTTGTTGTTTTTTTTTTTTTGCCACCTCATTAGTAGTGGGTTTAGAGCCACTAAATTAGTGGTCTCTAGCAGCACTGTAAATTTAAAGATGGGCTTCTCTCCAATCCACAAAGTAGAGTGGATCGTATTGTACTATGGCGCTGATTGAGAAGTTTGCCTTTTGTTTTTTTTTTTAAATTTTTTTTTTACTAAAAGATAAATTGGTTACAAAATTAAAAAAAATAAATCCAAACAAAATATTATATCAAATCTCATAATCATTTCACATATTCTCTCACAAACATCACATCCAACCACAAAAAAATTTAATTATCTTCCCAAGCACAAAAAAAAAAAATTCAATAATATCCTACAAATAAAAAAATCTACAAAAAAATCCATTTTCCAAACACCCACTATGAGTCGATGTAGGGTCCATCATGGGTCCCGTTTTGATAATTCGAACCGTTTAATGTGTAGAACTCATCGAGTGTTTCATCCCTAAAAAAAATCAAGTTGATTGGAACACATTTAAAAAAAATAAATTGTTAACAAAAATGTGTTCCGATCAATGGGTTATTGATATTCGATCATCGTGATTTTTGACATAAATGAAATACTCGACAAGCTCTACATATTGAGCGATTCGGATTATCAAAATGGGACCCCTATGATGAGTCTCACAACCTTAATATTACGATCCAATCCACTTTGTGAATCGAAGAAAAGTCCATCTCTTGAATTTATACGTTTGAAATGGGTCCAATTTTTTTTACCTAAAGCTATGTTTAGTTTTAATTTTTTGGCTAAAAAAGCACAAAAAGACAAAATTGATTACAAAATCAATAAGACAAAATGTCACATCCAAACTATAATCATTACATTTTTTCTCTTCCAAAAGTCAAAAACAAAAACCAAACGAAACTAAAAAGTCATGCTAAAATAGCAAAAAAATCAAAAAGACAAGCTATTTTAGTTCTTCCCAAACCAAGGCTAAGCCGAGTTGCCAATCATGAAATAAAAAAATAAAATAAAACAAAAAATTATTAACTTCAATAGAATTCATAGCAAAATTTAATTTTACCTAAATGCATTGCACGTACACCTTAGTTCATGCCAAGTGATTTGATTTGTTTTAAATAAAATGGCAATCAAAGTTGTAGTTAACCCAAGGGTAGGTGGCATTGTGGTTAAGACTTGGGTTAAGCCCCAAGGTCATGAGTTCAATTCCTTTTTTTTTGGGCCAATCTCCTAGACGAAACACAGTTGGTTAGGATGTTGGACTAATCAGCACTTAGTGTGGGTTCAATCCTAACTTAAGTGAACGGCGACTAATCAGCATTTAGTGTGGGTTCAATCCTAACTTAAGTGAACGGCTAACAGGACACCATGGTAAGTTGTCTAATCAGCACTTGGTGTGGGTTCAATACTCTCCCCTGTGCGAGTCCTGACTTAAGTGAACGGCTAACAGGACACCCAGGATACCCTAGTGATCTCTGCAAGAAGCGCTACCTTGGACTTGCGGGATGATAGGAATGATTTTTCTGTAACAACAAAAAAAAAGAAAAAAAAAGGACGGAATAGAAATTTTGTTGGGAAGGGCCAACGTATATACATATAAAAAACACTGCTAATTAAACATAATTTCTTATAGAAACGTGCGAAAGAAATATTTCACGAGTAAATTAAATAAATTTAACAAATATTTTTTTTAGTTGTTAAAATTTTTGAACTACTAGATCTTAAGATACAATTGGTTAAAACATTATTTTAAGTTATTTTATTGATTGATATAATCTGATAAATAAGAAGTGAAAATGCATAAGGCTTCTAAAACATAATCCTTAAAATTACACTCAATAATATAGAATGTTACATATCAGTTAATTTGTTTAGAAAGGGCAAAGGCTTGCTGTTGGGTTTACGGGATTCATCACGAGTTTTGTTTCGATAATACAAATCGTTCAATATGTAAAATTTGTCAAGTTAATTCACCCAAAAAAAATTTATCGAGTATTTTATCCCTATAAAAAATCATGTTGATTGGATATAGATAGTTATTTGATCGGATTAGATTTTTGTCAACAATTTATTTTAAAAATTATATTTACCGTTAACAATAATTTGATCCGATCAAGAAGCTATCAATATCCAATCAACTTGATTTTTTATAGAGATAAAGTACTCAACGAATTTTACACATTGAATAGTTCGGATTATCGAAACAAAATCCGTGATGAGCTTCTACAGATCCAACAACACTCTCAAGTCTGGTCTTAAACTGGAGAGAAGTCTACTCCATTTAGAAATCAATCAATTAATACCAACCCTGGCAATGTTATTGTGGACAAATTTACAAGTGAAATTTTAGCTTCTCTAGCATTACTCATAAAAAAATATACATACCATTTTACTTTAAAAAATAAGTGACAAACATCTCTTATATTAATAAAATTGACTCGATAAATTGATACTATTATTTAAAATGTGAAATAAAAAGACAATAAAATAATTTTTATAAAATTAAAAAATAATCCCATTATATATTTTTACAAATATTCATCAATATAAAATTAATACTAAATTACAAAAAATCAAAAGCGGCCCGCCCTGGCCTAATTTTGGAACTTGGTTATAAGTCAAATTTTAACTTTTAACCTATTTTAAGTTATATCATCTCTTTATTTTTATATACATATTTTTTCTAAAAAAAAAAAAAACTTAAAAAAAAAATTAAAAAATTAACTTCTGACCAATCTCTCAAAATAAGCCTCTACCTTCAGTTGTGGTATATGAAGTGATGATGTGAGAGAATAAAGTAATTTTCATTTTATTTTTAATAGCAATTGTAAATTCTTGATGGGAGTGCATTTGTTTGTACATTTTTTTTTAATTATATAAATACACTGCATATTTTGTCATTAATATATAAAAAATCGTATATAGCCCTGATTTGGCAGGTTAATTTTAGAGATTAAAAAGTTAAAATAGTCATAAAAAATAAAATAAGTGAAAAAATTAATAAGATAAAATGTTACATCTAAATTATAATTATTTTATTTTCTCTCACAAAAATTAAAAAATTAAAAAATCAACTCACTTCTCAAACCGAACCTATAATTTTTAGTGCACAAAATTTAAAGTGTAATTATTAAAAAAATGAAATGTGAATAGTAATCCCTATTTAACAAGTGCATGTGCTTGATGAGTTTAGCAATGGCACTGATTGGAGCAGTTGAATTGTCTAAACATTACACAACATACTGATTGGAGCAATTGAATTGTCTAAGCATAACACAGCATGGCCACCACATGTCTGATGATTGGTGAAACACAAATGTTTTATAGCATCGTTTTTTTTTGTTATTATTTTATATCACTCTTTGTGCAGATTATTGTGATTAGTTAATTATTAGAAAATAAAAATTTAAGGAAAAAAGTAAA